AGTTTTGTCCTGACCCTCCTTTCCCTCTGACAATATAGCCCACACTCCCTCTCGTTTCCGACCCATCTCCCCGGTCTCCAAGTTTGGGGATACAGGGGGTTTGGAGGTACAGGGGGTTTGGGGGTCTCACAGTCGGTCATGAGGACCAGCACGTGGCGGGTGGAGTGGGGTTGGGGGGTACAGGGGGGTTTGGTGGTACAGGGGATTTGGAGGTACAGGGGGTTCAGGGGTCTCACCGTCAGTCATGAGGACCAGCATGTGGTGGGTGGAGTTGGGTTTGGGGGTACACGGGGAGGGGGTACAGGGTTTGGAGGTACAGCGGTTTGGGGGTACAGGGGGTTCGGGGATCTCACAGTCGGTCATGAGGACCAGCACGTGGCGGGTGGAGTGGGGTTGGGGGGTACAGGGGGGTTTGGGGGTACGGGGGATTTGGGGGTACAGGGGGTTCGGGGGTCTCACCGTCGGTCATGAGGACCAGCATCTGGCGGGTGGAGTTGGGTTTGGGGGTACAGAGGGAGGGGGTACAGAGGGAGGGGGTACAGGGGTACAGGGTTTGGGGGTACAGGGGGTCTCACCGTCGGTCATGAGGACCAGCATGTGGCGGGTGGAGTTGGGTTTGGGGGTACAGGGGTACAGAGTTTGGGGGTACAGCAGTTTGGGGGTACAGGGGGTCTCACCGTCGGTCATGAGGACCACCACGTGGCGGGTGGAGTTGGGTTTGGGGGAACAGGGTTTGGGGGTAAAGGGGTACAGGGTTTGGGGGTACAGCGGTTTGGGGGTACAGGGGGTCTCACCGTCCGTCATGAGGACCACGACGTGGCGGGTGGAGTTGGCGACTGGCGCCACCTTGTGGCCCTTGCGAATCTCGTCCTGCTCCTGCTGGATGATCATGTTGAGCACGGCCTGGAGCGCGGCCCGGGTGTTGGTGCCGCTGCGCAGCGCGTGGCCTGGGGGTCACGGGGGGTCACTCTATTTTGCTGTTCTCCCTTCTACCCTTCCTTAGAATTGCAAACTCTATGATTTCATGATCACTTTCACCCAGGCTGCCTTCTACTTTCACATTCTCAACGAGTTCCTCCCTATTTGTTAAAACTCAAGTCTAGAACAGCTTCCCCCCTAGTAGCTTTTTCAACCTTCTGAAATAAAAAGTTGTCTCCAATGCAGTCCAAGAATTTGTTGGATAGATCTGCTCTAGGAATCCTTGGGGGCAGTTC